ATTCCCAAAGACATTACGGATCGTGCGACCAATGTCCGTCTCATACTTGAAGAGTGAGGGAGTTGAGATCGATGGTCGCCAAGTTTGCGCAGACCTTCTCCAGGCGGTACGACGTATCATGGCCCGACTCGCGTACAGCGCGGTCGTGCATGAAGTACTCGTCAAGCTCCGGCTCCTTGACGTCCTCGGCGTTGTAAGCTTTGACAAATTCCTGCCACGTCATGCCGTGCTTCGCAGCATAGGGCTCCAGCACGTGGACAAAATGGTCAGCCTCCGTCTCAGGAGGGACGCCTTTCCCCTCGGGTCGGTATCTGGAAAGACCAGTGACGGGGTCAAGTCGCGGCTCAGCCACCCAGACACTGTGGTACTCTTTCATGGCAGCCAGCAGCGAAGTGCGGAGAAAGTCCTTGGCGTCAGGTTCGTGCTTGATCTTCTCGTAGACTCGGAGCGCCATGTCCGTAAGGAAAGGAGGCTGTGAGCGGCAGAGATAGTAGGAGCGGGTGGCGTTGAGAATTTTTCCATAGTGCTCAATGCAAAAGCAGAAGTTCAGGACGATGGACTTGGCGAGCTGAACCCTGTCGTTAACAAGGAGACCCAGGGACGTCATGTAGCTGTCCCAGCCGTAGAGCTCGTTGAATCGACCGCCAGGAACAACAAAAGGCAGACCTTTGAGGGTTTCCTCACCCGTCTTCTCGTCCTTCACCTTCTCCATGGCCACAGCTAGGAGTCCAGGTTTGTCGTTCATCCCACGTACGAGTTCAGGCGTGATGACCTCGGGAAGAAGCTGGACATCGAGGTTGATCTCCGGTCTGTCCTTCGCAACCTGAAGGTAGAATTCATACTGCTCAGGAGCCCCAACCGGAACGTAGATCCTTGGACGAGGGTTGTCGGTCCAGTCTTTGGGGTCTTTGGCAGCGATCTCCACGGTTGAGGCATCGATTCGGCGCGTCAGGCCATCCCAAAAATGATCACTGACCATGCGCGAAAGGCGATTGACTGGGTTCTCGTTGAGGCGGCCTTCGTCAAGGATGATCTGTTCTCGTCCGTACTCTTTGGCAAGGACGAGCTCTTGCAGTAGATTCGACAACATATATGTACCGCGAATGTCAAATTTGTTGTGGCCAGCCGAGCCCGCCGTACGTAGCGTGATAACCTGTGGCTTGTGGTCAGTGAAAGTGCCTGGGGAATGGCGGTGCCGACATCAGGCTGTGCGCACCTTGGGCCCTTCGTCTTCGATGGTAATCTGCATATTTCCGTCGGTATCCTCTTGTTCCTGGAGACTGTCCAAGGTCGACTGAACATTGACGAGGAAGCGCCGCCCGTGAGAGGTCGAGGGTTCATCTGGCGATTCGAGATCAGTAAAGCTGTACGTAGAACAGGCCACACCGCTCCGTTCGTGCACGCACCGTGGCTCCCTCGTCGGAAAGGCTCCTTCAACCCGATACGCTCCATTTGTGCCAGCAACCCATTCTGATGAGACGAGTCAGCTTCGTGAGGTCCAATTGTGGTCAGGAAGAGGGGCTACTCGCCTGAGAATAGGTCCGCGTACGAGGGCCCGCCCGATTGTTGTGACGCTCTGAGGTGTAGTACGTCTTGGCATCGTCGAAGATGCCATGTTCGTCTGAACTGCCGCGGTTGCGGTGCCGACGGCTCGTAGGTGAACTCATGATGCTATCACGCACGCGAGAGCTCTACGAGAGAGTCGAGTTGGCGGGCTGCGGGGTATGACGATGTTCGGGGCTCGAGCTTCTGGTCGTGACTCGGGGTCAGAGAGGTTGGTCGTGTGGAGTCCGTTTCAATTCCCAGGATTCTTCGTGCTGGTCTCGTGATGAACGTTTTGTGCGTCTCCCCCCACTTGTCAAATCGAAAGTGGTGTACGCAATGGAAGGGAATTGGTGTCAACGATGGAGGTTCGTGGGTGACTCGCTTTGGGGGAGGTGTCACGCGGTCTGAAAAGGCAAGGGACTGCTTCGAGTGGCAGCTGCTGTGCTTGGGAGGGGCAAAGCAAGGACCAAGCCAAAAAATGGGGGTCACCAGGGTTATTTTGGTCCGCGCGACGTGACCACAGCGATTGGAAACGTTTTCCAGTCACTAATAGCCTGTACTGGTTGATATGGAGTGCGGCTGTGATGGACGATGCTTGCAAGTTGTCGGCCCTCTCCTACCTCGTGAGAAGAGAAAGCGGTAGGTATGCAAACGAAGGAGGGCTGGCGGGCGTCACCTTCTTTCAGGCGTGGTGGGCGTTGTGTGCCCATGGACAATCGAGTGACGATATGGCGGGTCCACAGGGTCCAACCTCCCGCCATCAATTGGCCAACAGTCAGAGAGCCCTTCGCCAGGATCCGAGCAGCTGGGTTGGTTGACCGCAATAGCTCGAGTGAAATATTGAACAGGCCATGGCGGACTAGAGTTTCTTTCCCAAGCCAGAGGATTCCAGCTCTGGTTCTCGGAGATTCAGCTCTGGGACGTGTTCGGTGAATGAGCACCTTTGCTGATGGATCTCGCCAAATCGCACGACCGCCGCGTCTTGCTGTACTCACTGCGCGGTGTGGACCGTCCCAAAAAAGAAGAGGAAAATGACCTCATGGCGACCCCCACACCTTGGCCTTCTGGCGAACTGGGACCCCACCCGCCTTGCGAGCCTGCCACCACACCAGGGCGATCACCCGTGACTGCCGTCGTCGCTGATGCCTTGCAACTTCCACTGCAGTCCTGATGCCCATTGCGACCCTGAATCGAGACCACCCTGAGTCGGACCCTGGTCCATCGAACACGGCTTTGCGATTGCGAGAGGTCCATCATGAGCAGGCTCGTGACAAGCATCTGGCAAACCCAAAAACTGACTCGATACGCAGGTCCAGCCCTGGGATGCTATGGGGAAACCGATTCCCAAACAATGTCCGCTGATAAATTCCCCCACTTCACACGAACGGGTGGCGGACAAAGTCCCTTGCCGCGCTCGGAAACCTACACCATGCGCCGATTTGCACGTATCGAGACCACGCTGAAGGCCTGGCGAAACTGTTGGAACAGTGACGCATCCCATCAGCTTGAAAAGATAAAAAAGTCAAACCACGTGAGCAGGCTAGGAGAAGGACGAGGGCGAGGGGGGGTGTAGGCACTGGCCAGCATCCTCAGGGAGACTGACAAGTCGCCACAGTACTTTGCACCCAGATTTCTCACAAGGTCACTTTTCAGGGGCGCCGACAGCGCAGTACATGTTTGCTGAACCGGCGTCACGAAGTCGGGATGAAGGCGCAAAGAGCGGCAGACTATATGCTTGATGGCCTCCCATGGCACCTGTCTGCTGCGTCCTATCGAGGGTTCTGTTACACCGGTGCCGCCACCAGAACGCTTTGACTACCCACAGAACCTTGGGGGGAGGGAATGGTCCGAGGGCGTGTGCTCAATGTGGACTTCCAGTAGCAACATCAGCTAGAAGCCTGAGCGTGTAGGTTGAGAACCTTCGGCTTGCTCCCTTGGTCTGTCTCCTAGAAGACTTCTGGAAAAGGGTCCCTGAGTTCGCGCCACATGGCGAGTCAGCCAGTGGCGGCACTCTTCGTGGCAGACTTCATCGTTGACTTTCGCGCTAGAAGTAGCCCTCACAAACTTGATGGAGCTTAATGAAACAATTCGACTCTGGTTACGTCAAGTCGAAAGTTTGGTCCATCACTTGGCATTTCGCCGCGACGCCGTTGTACCCGGCAGTGGACGACAAACGGCGGCGTGAGAGGGAACTTTTGCTATTTTCAGGTAACCTCCGACATGATTTTGATCCGCCACGACATCGCCACCCGCCAGTGGTTTCGAGATAAGACACAATTCGTCTTGAAGCAGAACTCCTTTCGGCTTTCAATCTCGATCAGGAGCTGATCTGACCCCCATGGCGGTTGGCCCTGTAGGTGCACGGCCCATGGAACCTTGACAGTCATAACTTCTATAGTAACCACCCAAGGGACAGATCGTATTCTCAATAATAGCGTCGGATCGTGGTTCGATCCTCGAAAGGGGGTGGATGACGGCGATAAGATCTACCAGGCCTCCTGCACAACTCGCCCTGCCGCCGGTCCCGAAGCTGACGTCCGTGTCCTAAGAAAAAGACACGAAAAAAGAGCGGTGAGCGGGTTTGAAAGCAGCTGATGAGCTAGAAGCCTGAGAGTTCGTTGAAAACGCCAACCAACTTGCATAGCTTGATCCATTGGAAAATAAGGTTTGTAACTTACTGGGCGGGATGCCGCAAGTTCGTCACGTACCTCGCGAGTCGGGAAGGGGGGGGTGTGTCCAGACTTTCTTTGCCTGCCGGCGCCTCAGAGCACAGGCACAGGGTTTCTGGTTGTGTGGACTCCGAGTCAAGCAAAGAACAGAAGTGACAGGGCGATGAGGCGGCCAAAGGAAACCCCACGCAGGCATGCCAGCCCCCCCTGACCACCCCTAGACACTGAGCACGGTCTCGATCCCGCGTCCCATCGGATGCATGACTCCGGGCCAGGGACTCTGAAGTTGCGGATTGTGGGTTGATTGAATCGCCGTCTTATGCTGTCGGCTGCGGAATAAATGCGTCCATAGTGCTGGATGCGGGACGACGGGGAAGAGTGGTTCATGTCGGTAAATCTGGGCTCCGGGCGCTGTTCCATGTCTTGACCCGGACCCTGATGATCTATGGCAGACGGTGAAGCGGAAGATGAGGGCTAATAAGCAGACCGGCCGTGTCCTGCTCCCCTTTCCTAATCAGGAACTCAACGCCGTCCAAGGTTTGATGCTACCACTCTTCCGCCGTCCGACTTCCGGCCCTGCACAGCTGACAAAGGCGAGATCCTGCTATCTACCTGAAATTCGTTGATGCTGACACGGGCTCTTCGGGTCTCGGTGGGGTGTTCAGAAGACGCCGGCCCGCCAACAGCTTTTGTCTTGGACCTTCGGAATACCGGACATCGGAAAATCGCAACTCTTAGGAAACTCTGTTTTCAGGCGACAGGCCCAACTCTACGAACATTCCGCTCGGAATGGCATGTCCGCACAACTTCCTGCGGTTAACCGGCCGCAGAATAGCGGAGTACGTTTGACGTTGTTCGAGCTCTTATACATGGTATGCAGGTGCAGACGGCAAGCGGCAAGCGGCAGATGTCAAGTGTGAGGCGAGATGCCGGCACTCATCCCCGTATAGTCAATTGGGATGAGGGTGGTCTAGTGTGTACCTGCCTACCTAGGTACCTAGACAAACTAACACACTGACCGGCAGGCCTTTCCCACCTCCTCGAAGACCTGACAGGGAGAGCACGTGGCATAGTGATGCTCAGTGCCGAGGTTTTGCCAGACAGATTCTCAGACCTGTGGCGCGCTTGGCGCATGCTGGTAGCGATCATTCGTTATCGCAATCAGCCTTGGACGCACGTAGCACTACATGGTACCTGCTGACCCGGGACCGTATGATTTCATTGAGGCAATCGCATGCTCGAGAAAGTAGTGGCCAAAATTTTCCCCGTCGTCGGCGTCAAGGTAACAATCATCGACTTCTGTCCATAGCCACAATCAACAAAAGCCGACATTGCATTGCGTCGCATCGCCTGGTCTGAATTTGCATCGCCAAATCGGAATTGTTGGCAGTCGCGGCGCGTCTACGAGTCCGACAAGCCCCAAAGGAGTCCGAGGCTAAAGCCCAGCTCCCGTATCCCCAGTATCTCCGAAGCAGCTTACCACTCCACCCGAACGACACTTTGCCACACCGGTGTGCCCGCCCTGGTATCAGAATACATTTGCACTTTGACGGGACGCCCTTTCCGATATCTCGAGTGTTCCTCAACGCAGTGGTCACAAACCAACAATCGAACCTCCATCGATCATACAATGTGGGGGACAATAATGCGCGCAGCGCCGGCGTCGCGTCAAACCTTCTCGGGCCAAGGTCAGACGTTCTGGAGGACAGCATGGCAACGCCAATACGCGGCTAGCAGGGCGCATGCGCAAACCTCAAGAGCCGGGATCAGAAACTTTGGGGGCAGTCGACGAACGCCCGAGTCATCACCGGCTGGCCGCATGAGCACCATGTTTCGCACATGGCACCGGTCCTTTCGATTCTCAGCCATGAGGGGTAGCGAGAAGGCTGCCGGAGCAGCAGAAAAGCCTTTGTCTCTGAGCCAGAGGTTGAAGAAGCTATCCAAGGAATACGGATGGAGCGCAGTCGGTGTTTACTTCGCTCTCAGCGTCCTCGACTTCCCGTTCTGCTTCTTGCTGGTTCGAGTTGTCGGCACTGATAGGATAGGTCTGCAAAGCTCTTGGAGATAGTTTTGACAAGAGGCTAACGTTGTTACTTGGCAGGTCAGCTCGAGCACTGGGTCATGTCTTGCGTCAAAAAGGCGATCCCGGATTCGGTCGAGGCCTGGTGGCACGAGTATCGTGCCGCCTTGAAGGGGGTTGAAAAAGAGCAGCTCGGTACCGACGTAGTGAGCGAGTCGGTCGAGATGGCCGGCTGGGGAGTGGCTGAAGCGGAGGAGCACAACCGTGCCGAAGCTAGTAAGTTTGTCCTTTCGAGCTCTGGTTCTGTTCTGACGAGACGACTTACAAACTCTCACATCATAGGCTTAGGCACACAGCTTGCTCTGGCATACGCCATCCACAAGAGCTTCATCTTTCTTCGGGTGCCCCTGACTGCAGCTGTGACGCCGAAGATTGTTAAGAGGCTAAGAGCCTGGGGGTGGAATATTGGCAAACGGCAAACAAAAGCCTGATGGGATTGGCCGAGTGACTTGCGGAGTACTACGGTAGAGACAGGGGTCGAAGGACGACATAGACGAAACGAGTAACCTTAGAGTCCCGTACCTCAAGATGGGCCTGCGCCCCATGTAACAAATTTGTCGGATTAATGTACGGATAGCACACCTTGTAGCTTTGAGTTTTCGGATGTGGTCTGTCGCGTTCCAGCACATCGGTCATGACTAGCTTGTCGAGAAGGCATCACCGCAAATTTATTGTTGCCATCCTTGAATATTCCACCCGCGATACTAGTCATGAAAGATATCGATTCTCTCACGTGCGTCATGCGGCAGTGGACCGACGATGGGGGTCCAGCCGGGCCCGAGTCGGACTTGAGTCGGTCAAGCGGATGACAGAACGTTAGGTAAGGCAACACAGAGAAAAATGAGGAGGGTGGAGGGTCAGGGCCACCCTCGCTCTCGGCGTCATTCGAGTGGCTCCCAGTATTGCATGATATCAACGGGGTGTGATAGAGATTCTCCGGGCAAGTGCTCTTGAAAATCAATGGTGGCATCACAGTAGCCATGCCTTTGATGCTGGCTGGACATTGCCAAACAACCGCGTCAGGCTACAGAGGACGCTACTCTCGCATACTCACGCTCCCGTGCTCGACTTTCCTCACAAGAGGCGACGGCCACAAGTCCGGCGCAGTCGGAAGACTGGTTTCACGCCTGAGTGGGTATGGGTGGATGAAACTAGAAGAACGGCGGTAGAACGCGCTCCCGCCACGCCATCGAGTGTTATGCGCCAGGTAGGTTCAGCTAGTCCGCAACTATCATGTTGAGTTCCTGAACTACATGGTCGACCGGAACAAGGTGACAGGCGGACGGAAGGAATACTGGTGGGCGGATCTGTCGGTGGTCTTTGATGGCACCGTGATCGGTGATGGCTTGGATTCGGAGAACGCTCGTGAAGCGAACAAAGGCGGAGCCAAAATGAGGTTACGACTCGCCCGCTAAGTGTCGACGGCGGGCTTGGCTGATTTGCATCACAACGGCTCCAGGGGGGTTGGGTTCAGCCTCGAATCAGAGAGAAGAGCGGTGGGCATCCATCGGGTGGGAGGCTCAACGTCGCGAGTCGGCTGATGGGTGGACAATCAACGGGGTGACATCTCCTCTTCTCCCTCTCGCAAAGGATGCGCTCGCCGCATGGAAGCCACAATTGCGGCCAAGGAAACTTTGTTTGAGGCACCAGCCACTCTCAGGGCAGAATTCTCCTCACGACAGGCCCCAGATGGCCCAGCGGCCCCACAAACGCCCTGCACAGTAGCTTAGCCCCACCGACAGGGCAGCGCTTTTGCCTGCCTTCAGCAGACATGCCCGTAGACGATAGCTGGGTTTGCTGGGCAATACTGAAGTGAGGTGGGATGAAACAGGGGCGGTGATGTGCAAAGATCTTGAGTAAGGGACGTAGGTAAGGTACCTGGGTGCGTGCATTCCATGGCTCTTTCCCCAGTCCGTCTGTTGTCTGGCGCGGTTTGATGATGCAGGTGTATGTGCACCACACACACCCGCGGGTGTCCGAAATATCTGCATAGCCGCCGATGCCACAGCGCGACACGGTCGAGCGTCCTCGGGTGCCATCATCACAGGTTCCCTCCCGAAACACCCAGGTCGGAGTTTTATCCATACGCCGGCAACGCCTCGTGCCCAGAACCTGAGCTATCACACACCCTCACATGCGATACAGCGCCTCAGACGGTGTCCCTCGTTACATTTCCTGATACTTACAACTTCGGCGCTTTCACCCACTCTTGTTTGTGGAGCCCCTGTCTCCTGCGCCCCGCAACAGATCACCGCATCAGATCAACCAACACCTTGCATCGGGACAATTGTGTTGCATCGTCATAGCCTTGTGCTCTACGTGCGCTGGGCAACATCTTACTTGGCTGTCAGTTCACAGAACTAGCATTCACCAGAACTCATCCGATTCGCGGGCACCGGTCATACGGCCTTCCCTGGTTTCCTCCGTCAATAGCCAAGCTGAGAACAATAGTATGATCCCTGTCACCTTTTCCCGGACATCCATCTCCATTGTCAGGCAGGTCCTCTATCATCGTGCTATGCATTTTTCGGCATCTGGTCATTTCGACTATCTCTCTTTCACTGCCTTTGCTTATGCCGCTCGGCCCCCCTCCCTAGGCGCGCCCGCCTCGCTGTTCCAGGTTCCGGCTATCTCTCATCTGGCCACTTTGGCCGGGGGTAAAGGCCCAACCGCGACGGCACAGCTTTGTGTACGCCTCCTGTTCGGTGCTAACACGGATGACCAATTGGCAGACCGAGCGAGGTACACCCTGTGCCTGCGAGTCAACTGGCGCAACGAGAGCTCAGATGTCATGCCGGGCGGCTTATAGGAAGACGCAAATCCCTTGCTGGTTTGCCTGCAAGTGGCTATCAGAGGTGAACGTCGGTAACCCGTCAACGATACGAGAGAATACCTTCGATCAATGAGAGGTAAAGAACAGACCAGAAGCCAGTGCTTGTCACGATTCGATGACTGCCTCACAACCTTCCACTCAGAATGTACGTACGGGACAACCGTTTGTGTTGATTGGTTTGCCCGGGAATACCCAACGTGACGGAGATGACATTCTTCATCGGAGGTTTCTCCGGCGCCCCAAAGCCCTCTTTCGGATTTGTTTGGAATACCATTTGAGGAATGAGGACCAAGTCCACAAGGAACACAAAGTCAGACGACGCAGCTTGTCAGAACATTGCGTTACGGTTATCGGCTCCGGAGGGTAATCATCTGAGTGCGCCAAGGAAGCCCGCCTCGCCCGTGCGCATGCAACATGGACACGACTCCACGGCGGCGATTACATGCCGCGACTGTTCCTCTAGCGGACACCTACAAGTCGTAAGAGACATGGCTAACGAATTATCGTTGGATAAGTGCCTTCGCACGTTGCAGGCACAGAAGAGCGTGAACTATGCATGTCATAACACATCTACCCAACCGGCTGGCGGACGGGGGAACAGGGCGCGTCGATGGCTCAAGCCACCAAGCCGCTTCCTTCAATGCATTCTATCCATGTACCACGGTGACAGGATAGTTCAGAGAAAGCCACCACCCGTTGACACATCCCTGTGGTTTCAACCCGTGCCGCACGCTGGTCCAAAGTATCCAGGCTGACGGCCTTGGGTAACCAGTTCTGTGACTCCGAGTCCATGCCATTTTCCCTGGCAGCACCAGAACACCCCCATGATTATGGTACTGTTGGCAGTCCTCGTGCGCTTCTGTCGAGCGTAGGTGCACTACCCACAAGACTCACAGTTCACGTTTGTGCTGAGACTCCCCTCGTTCGTCCTGACCACAAGCCAAAGGTGGACAAGAAGACCTGCCACGGAACCGTAACAGCCCTCAGACCAGGATCAGGGCCTGGATATCAGTATGGCCAGGACCAGGGCTAGGCCTGGATATGAGGATGGGCCCAGCCCAAGACCGACCGCCGGGGCCGACATCTTCCCAGGCCAGGGGAGATTGTAGCGGGGTACCCACTCTTCTCTAGCCACAGAGCCATGCGGAGGGTTGGTCGAAGCCTCAGGGCAGAATGGCTGCCCATGGTCCGACATCTCGCCTCCGCTCCCGCTTCTAGAGTTCTTCCTTTTGCCTCAGGTCGATCTCAGAAATGGATGATCCGTGCACTGAAGCCACCAATCTGGCAAAAGCCCCGGTAAGGTTGAGTCAACTTTCCAACAGACTTCAGTCCATGTGGAGTCTCTCCTCCCTTCTTGAATTCCGTTTCATTCACCATGACAAGCTTTCAATCATTGCCTTGTGATGACCTCCCCGGGTCTAATTCCAGGCGGAGGGCTAATTAGGTTGCCGCAAGAAAGAGCATGGCTCGTATGTTATTGTGCGCCCGTAAGAAAACATCGATGCCGAAGGGGATTTCTGTCAGGCGCCTACTCTAGAGACAATTACTTTTGGTCATCCAAACCTCTGCGCCCTGTTCAGCTGGCAGAGGTTAAAACCCTCGAATATCTTGTTGTTTATTCTTGATGCTTTCCAGGGCTTACTCGTACACACAAGGGACGACGCCGCCGCGCTGGAAAACGTATTGTGACGCCCTGTCATGAGTTCCGGAGAGAGCAAGGCAGGG